GTGTGTGTGTGTGTGTGTGAGTGAGTGTGTGTGTGTGTGTGTGAGTGAGTGAGTGTGTGTGTGTGTGTGTGAGTGAGTGAGTGTGTGTGTGTGTGTGTGAGTGAGTGAGTGTGTGTGTGTGTGTGTGAGTGAGTGAGTGTGTGTGTGTGTGTGTGAGTGAGTGAGTGTGTGTGTGTGTGTGTGAGTGAGTGAGTGTGTGTGTGTGTGTGTGAGTGAGTGAGTGTGTGTGTGTGTGTGTGTGTGTGACTCAGTGGTTAGAGTGCCAGCCCTCAGACTGAAGGGTCGGGGTTTAATTTCCATCAATGGCACATATCTCAGTTTCAGGCTCTATCCCTGGCCCCAACTGGTTAGGGCGTGTGCAGGAGGCAACCAATTGATGTGTCTCTCTCACATCGATGTTTCTCTCCATCTCTCCCCCTCCCTTCTACTCTCTCTAAAAATCAATGGAAAAGGAAATAAACCTGAGTGAGGATTAACAAAAATAAAAATACAATAAAGAACACGGTAAAAGACCTGAAGAGACATCAGTGCCCAGTATCTCAGAGTCAGCTGCGGGCAGGATGCTGCCCAGCACTCCCCGAAACTGTCCTGTCATCACTTATACTTCTGTTCCCCTGTCCTCCCCTCCCGCCTCCCTGTCCCCCTACAGGGAGGGCCTGAAGCGTTAGCCAGGGCTCCCCCATCTGCAGGGACAAACCCCATGCGCCACTGTCGGGGAGTTTTAGCTTGGGTCGGGGTGAGCCCAGCTCCTGGGTGGGGAGGAGATGGGAGCCCACGCTTGGGCCTGGAAGAGGTTCGGTTTCTCTGCGGGCAGCGCCCCCTGGCGGCCCATGAAGTCACGGCGGCTCCCTCCTTCCCTGGAGACATGCGGGGGGACCAGGAGGGAAGAGGCTTCTGGGTGGCTCCCCCGGAAGGAGGGCGGTGAGAATCCCGCGCCCCTTCAGCCCATCAGGTCTGAGGCCACAAAACGCTGTGATACCCGGCACCGCACCCTCCCCGCGGCGGGGCCTCCTGCATGGGTCCCCAGCGCACAGCGACCGCACAGCCCCGACCTCCCGGTGGCCCTGGGGGGTCATTCGGTCCCCGGGCCTGGGTTTCCTCATTGGGGAAAGGGCCGGAGGCAACCAACCCATGTGTCTCTCTCACATCGATGTTTCTCTCTCTCTGTCTCTCCCCCTCCCTTCCACTCTCTCTAAAATCAACTGAAAAATATCCTCAGGTGAGGACTAACAAAAAGTTAAGAATAAATAGAAATAATTGCTCTCGTTACATCGCAGAGTGTGAGCTGACCAATTCCTGCTCAGGGCACAGGCCCGGGTTGTGGGCTCCATCCCCAGGAGGGGTCGTGCTGGAGGCGGCTGATCCATGATTCTCTCTCATCACTGATGTTTCTGTCTCTCCCTCTCCCTTCCTCTCTGAAATCAGTGGGAATATATTTTTAAAAATAAATGAATAAATAGAGAAGAGCAGCCCGCAGCTGCCCGGGGGTGGTTTAGAGCTGGGCTTGCCGGTCCCTCCGCTGGAACCCTGGGCAGTGACTCCGAGGGTGGAGGGGGCTTCAGTGAGGATTAAGGGAGGTAACACTTGCAATGCGCGTCCCGCTGTGCCCTGTGCCCCTTCAGCTGTGAGCTCACAGTGGGCAAACCTGTGGTTTCTTTTCCTCATCCCTGTTCTCTCTATGGGGCAGGGCCTTCTGGGAAGCCCGGGGCTGGGCGAGGCTGAGAGGTGGCCCCTCTGTGGGGTGGGGGTCGTGGGGAAGGCTTTGGGTGGGTGAGAACTTAGACAGTGGCATGCCCCGCGCCCACACCCACCTCACCCACCTGATCTCAACGATGTGGCAGGAATGAGACAAACTCTCAGAACTGGACCAGCAAAGCAGATGGACGCCTGCGGGAAGGGTGCTCCTCCAGCGGGAATCCTGGGCCACAGCACACGGAAAGGGGAGTTGCTTTGGGTTTTATTTCCTGACCCGGGTTTGCCCGCCCATCACTCTGAACAGTGAGGTGATTGGTCAGGGCTCAGAGATCAGATTCCCATTATTGCAACATGGGGTGATTAGGCGGGAGGGAAGGGTAAGGCAGAGCCTAAGGTGGCCCCGAGCTCCTTTCTTTGATAGAAAGATCGCTGGTTCACTCTCCTCCCCTTCTCCTCCCCCCCAGTGCCCTGGGAGACACCCCAACTCCCCCTCCTGGCTGTGAGCCTGTGACAGGCCCCCGTGGCCCCTCTGACCTGACCTCACCCTCCTCCCTCCACGGCCTCCGAGGGTCCCTGAGCTGTTCCCTGGGCCCAGAACGTGCTCCCCTCCGGCCTGTGCAGGGCTGGCTCCCCCACAGGGTGCAGGGGGTGCCAGGTGACTGTCTTGCCCAATCCTTCCTGGCACCACCCAGCCCTGCCCGGCACGTCAGCCTTCCTCCTGGGGGCTAGAACTCGTCATCAGAAATCACCTGCTTGATTCAATTTCCAGTAAATGCCTCCCACCGGGAAGTCTGCTACTAAGGCCTGCGGGCAGGAGGCCAGCGCCCCGTGACTAGGGCTGAGCCCCTTGTGCAGTGCACCAGCCCCCGCAGGGCCCGGCCCCCGCTTCCCACAGGTGGCCCCATGGGGGACCCCGAGGTGCTGAACCAGAAACACTGATCGTGTGATCGGCTCGGCCAGGCCGCTGTGTGCCTGGGCACATGGGCACGTGGTGGTGGCCACCCTCTCCCCTGCTCGCTCTGACCTCGGGAGTGTTGGAAAGGTCACCACGAGCCACTTACAAAGACCTACTGTGTGCTCAGCCCTGTTCCAAGTGTCAGGGCTACAGGCATGAACAGGAAAGGGCTCCTGCTCGCATGGAGCTTAGATCTGAGGGTGGACAGCATGGAGCTGTGTCCCATCCCGTCTGCCAAGGACAGTGTGCAATCCTGGTCGTTTTTATAAAAAATCTTTTTTGTTGCAAGTATTACATATGTCCCCTTTTCCCCAATTGACCCCCTCTAGCCTGCCCCCTGCTCCCCACCCCACACCCTCCCCACCCTGTAGTCTGTGTCCATGGCTTAAACATAGATGCACACCAGGTCCTGTGTTGATCTCTTCCTTCCCACCCACCCTCCTCCACCTTCCTCTGAGGTTTACAGTTTGTTCTGTGCTTCTCTGTCTCTGGATCTATTTTGTTCATCAGTTTATTTCTTTAAAATATATTTGTATGTATTGATTTCAGAGAGGAAGGGAGAGAGAAACATCAGTGATGAGAACAATCAATCGGCTGCCTCCTGCACGCCCCCTACTGGGGATCCAGCCCACAACCCGGGCCTGTGCTCTGACCAGGAATCAAACCGTGACCTCCTGGTCCATAGGTCGATGCTCAGCCTCTGAGCCACACCCACGGGGCCATTGTGCTGGGCTGCATATCTGGCACTTTGGCCAGACAGGTCATGCTGTGCTGTCTGTTCCTAAAACACATAGATAGGAAGGTACTGACATCAGGCCAGGCCTTGAGATATGGTCTCATGGTCCCTCCTCAATATGCTGTGCTCTCTGTTCCTGGAAAACATAGATAGGAAGGTGATAATGCTATAGTGTGTTGGGAACTAATTGCGTAAACAAGGCTTTGTAACTTTGTGGGTTTTGCAGATAAAACGCTGTAACTTTTGCAGTCTGTACTGCAGTTCAGCCTTTGCTTCAGCAGGGTGCTGGGACTGTGGTCAGCCGGCCCTTGCATTATTAACAGACTAGTCCAATTTGTCAAGGAGTGTATAAAAGTAGTTCAGTTGATAGTTCAGTCCGTCTCATGATTGAGCCGGAAGTTCCAAGACAAGGGGGGAATGAAAGGACAGAACAGGACTGATAGCTGTGTCCTTAACCCCTCTTCCAAGAAAAAGCCACAGAATGTATCAGTTACTCAGCCTGCCCTTATCT